TGTGAGTGCTATAACCCGAGGCACTGAGGGCCCACTGACCACATGGGCTTATGGTGGACTGGGTGATGCTCCCATTTCAGGTCTACGTAGTTGGAGGGAACCTGCATTCCTCAGTAGAATATCTTACTAGATAAGTCCAGTTTTTTTTTCGGAAGTATTTTTATTTTTATTTTTTTTGCGAGAGAGAGAATGAGAGAGAGCACGAGAGGGAGGAGGGTCAGAGGGAGAAGCAGACTCCCTGCTGAGCAGGGAGCCCGATGTGGGACTCGATCCCGGGACTCCAGGATCATGACCTGAGCCGAAGGCAGTTGCTTAACCAACTGAGCCACCCAGGCGCCCGATAAGTCCAGTTTTAGTCTTTCTTGGCCTCTCTGCTATTCACACTGCTGTGGGTGTGAGTTCTGGACACATGATCTCTACTTCCTAAGTGAGATTATTACAGGCATTAAAAATTAAGTATCTTTTATAGCCAGGAATATTTGGCAAAGCTTGTGGTGTAGGCTAAGCAAATCAACATTTATTAGGCTGCCAAATAACTCTGGCAGATAGCCAAAGGGACATTTGATAGTGAGATGATCATATCTCACAGTAACTCAAGCCTTGACCTGGCCTCCATCCCACTCAGGACTGGGGCAAGACCAAAAAAGACAGAAGACAGATAATCACAGACCTGTACCTCTGAAACAAATAAAACATTATATGTTAATAAAAAAATAATAAAATCTTTTTAAAAAAGACATAAAAGAGGAACAAGGAGGAATGCCTAATCAATATGATCTTTGTAGATGCTGATATGTGAAGTGTCACTGCAGAAGGAAAGCAAAGGCAACTGATTTTCAGTGCATTCTGATATTGAGTAGAGGGACCCAAGGGCTGGGAATTTAGTATAATGAGGTCCAGTGGTAGGAGGGAGACCCATTTATAAGATCATTTGTTGTTTGTAATTTCCAAAAGATTTAAGTAAGGTGTTGAGGCATTCTATATGACCAGCAGCCTGGGACTGACAGGGAAGGTGAAATATCTGTTGAACGCCTTGTTCTAAAGTGAGAGCTTCATTCAATGTTGGTAATGTCTGGAATCTAAAGGGAATGGAGTGTTTTTGTAAGGCTTTGTATAGTAGCTGCATCAGTGGCATGTTTAGTGGGGTGGAAAACAAGATGTATGGGTAGGTATTCACTACTGTGAAGTCATAATAAGTGGCGTTGGCAGAGGCAAGCAGACACCTAATAAAACTGATTTGCTGGTGACTATAGGAGTGAGATCCCTCTGGGATGGCACCCCTCCATTGTATTGCCAATGACAGTGTTCCCATATAGAGTGCATTGATTTGTCACCATGTTGGCCATAACAGGAAAGTGGGGGAAGCCCTTTGAATTTAGCCCAAGCTTCAAGGGCTGAGGTTCCTCTGTGACTGATATTTCATGGGTCCATTGTGCCAAAGAAAGACAAATGGGATCTGGAGGGTCATCTGACAAAGATTCCACCTAAGGTTTTGAAAGTTATCCCAATCTATCAGCTTGGGAATTAAACAAGGCCCTAAAAGCATGAAATTTGGCATGGGCAGACATAGGTGACGTTAATTAGCATCTTTGGGGTAAAGGTCTTCACCTCAGAAGGGGAAGTCTCGAATGAGAAATTATTATTGCCATTGGTTGCACCAAAGAAGTGGCAATTGCACAGGAGTCTGTGAAGTGTCATTGGAGTCATTTGTTGGCCAGGCATCCCCCAATGCTAAGATGACTGCCTGGAGTTAGGCCACTTGTATTGACTCTTGGGTCCATTTTCAGGGATGTCCTGTTTAGAGGAAGAAAAGCAAGCAGCTCTCCAGAGAATTCCATCACATGTACTGGTGGCAATATTATCAATAAAGTATGTGATCCCCTTTTGTTGTTCACTTAGTTGATCGTAAAGGTATCCCCAGGAAATCAAGGGTCCAGGAGGAGGGTGCCCTCCTTCAGCAATGTGGCCTCTGGCCAGAGACTGAGGACAGGTAAGGCCCTCTTCCTTTAGGTGGGATACACCAGAGGGTCCAGGTTTGGCTCCATCCCTTATCAAAGCCTTGATGGTCAGGCTAAGCTTATGGGATGTTGCCTTCATGACCCAGGAAATAATGGGTAACTGAGTGCAGAGGGTACCAGGTTCAGGTCCCGTGAGAGCCTCCATTTCTAAAAGGGCTCAGCATACAGCCAGCAGTTGTTGTTCAAAGGGCATGTAATGTGGAGTTGAAACAGGCAGCTTTCTGCACCAGAAAAGCTTATAGGTAAATTATGCCAGCATGAGTGGTCCAGAAACTCTAAGAAACATAGGAGGTGAGCACCAGAACTTCCATCACATAGCTGCCAGTAGGCAACTAAGAGATGGGCCTGTTGTATGACCATCTGAACTGAATCCAGGGCCTTTTGTTGTAAAGATCCCAAAAGTAGGCCGATTTGTGGGTGAGTGCATAATAAACCTTAGTAGTATCTGTACATGGAGAATATGTTGCTTTCAGAAGCCAGAAAGACTCAGTTTGGCCTGCTTGAGACCTACTGAAGCTGACAAAATTAGAAGTTGCCTTTTATGACATCAGGAGTAGAGTGGCCCTTAGGCACACTAGATGAACCTAAGATTCACTGAGGTGGCATGACCTTGAACTTTATGGGGAGTGGGGCAAGAGCCCATCTGCTCTCTGTAAGTGCAACAGTGATTGTTTTCATATCCTGTATGTCTAGTAAGTTCCCTCGGAGGAAGATGTCATCAATGTAGTGCTATACATGGGTGCCTGGGGATAGCTAAAACCAATTAGGGTTTTGCCAGTAGAGGTTGTATGTGATAGCTGAACTTGAGGTATCCCACAGGAAACTGAATAAAGTGACACACTGTTGAATTCACCTTTGAGAGTGAATGTGATTGAAAGGTTGCTGAAATAGGCACTGAATAGAGCACATAGAACAGCAAAATATTTGCAAGCAGACGAATGAATGAATGAATTCATTTCAATTATGTGAGTATAAGGACTTTAATAGGTGGGACCAAGGTAGCAGTAGCTTACCATGAAATGACATTCCTCTGAGGATTCTTAGATATCTACTGTGGTTTCTCAGATGTAAACAAAATTGGTTACCTCCTACATGTCAATGAACCTTACCTAATTTGTATGTTAAATATATTCTTGATACATCTTCAAAATGATTCCTGGCCCTTTTCCAGTTTCTTTTATTTAATTGATTCAATTGTTGTTTTGCCTACTGACGTTTGCCTACTACTTCCTTTTGTTCTTATGTCATCTTTGAACTTACTTTAAATTTTTCATTTAAATAAATGAGGCTATATTTACACAAATGCATTTAGCCTCTGCCAGATGCCTATGGACAGCTGTGATTATAGCTAGTGAGATGTGTTCTGAGATCCAGCCCTAGATCTGAGGCAGGGAGACAACAGACAGCTATCATCTTCTCCAAACACGAGTGCTACTTGTATTCTTGTTATTAAAAACATACCAAATATGGGTAACCGAAATGTGAGAGATTTCAATAAACCTTAATTTATATGTACTGGAAAACTTTAGAAATTAGAGGCTAAGACGTGTTCCTCAGTTAAATATAGGTGGTAATATCAAGAATGTGGAGAGCATAGTAACACTTTAAATGTTCCCTCTGGATGTTTTCAAATTTACTGAAATCCGCCAATCATTTTATGGAACCCCGAGCTGAGAATTATGTTGGATTATTCATGGTTTTTCTGTCAACAAAAACAAAGATACAAATTTCCAGAGGGCTCATAATAAAAACACACTTTAACCCCAAAATAAAATGTTGGCAAATTGCATCTCAACTGTTAATTTGCATTCTTGCTGATCCTTTGTGAGAAAAACATCTCCAAAGTTTGACTTTTTTCCAAGAATTTCCTGTATTTCAGATATCTTGCCTGCTTTGTTTTTGTTTCTTGGACAATTGAAGTATTTAACTGAATTATCATCAGTATTACAGATCTTCTTTTATGTTTTCAATGAAATTTTTGGTTTCAGGGATGTTAAGGATGTATCAATATCAAAACATTAAAATGTGTATCTTGTAAGTCAATCAGAGAAAGACATGTATCATATGACCTCACTGATATGAGGAATTCTTAATCTCAGGAAACAAACTGAGGGTTGCTGGA